TTCCTTGGGCATCCACCCACAGCCACTGCTGGCGAGACTAATGGCTTAGACAAAGGCCAGAGCTGAGTCACTTTGACTTATACTCAGTCACAAGATGGAACTAGTAATGTATATGTATTTCGACTTTTATAATTCAGGTGTTCTTTTGGAATATATTTCTCTTAGGTCCGTGTGGGTTTTGTTGTGTTTAGTTTTTTTTAACTTCTTGTCTGTAGTGTGTCCATTTCACATCATGACCAGCTACCAAGACCACTTTAGGGATTAAGACCATCTGAGGCCAAAGGATGTTCAAGTCTTGTAGGTGGTAAGAATAATAAATTAAAAAATGTGAAGCTTAATACCTCTGTCAGCTGAAGAACTAGAGATGATATTTATATAAAGGAAATATGCTAATTGTTTCTAATCACTGCCACAAGAAATGAGGGAGAGAGACAGTTAATTGTAAATGCTGTTAAAGACAGAATTTATTTCACATGTCAACTGCTGTTAGAAGATGCAGCCTTTTTTGTAAGCTAGTCAGCTAGGTTTTCTTTACTGTGACAGCATGTGTGTGTGGGTGGTGTGTGCAGAGAGCCTGATGATTATCTAAAATTTGTTGCAGAACTTCTATGGAGCTACAGATAGGTTTGATGAATTCAGCCCTGCGTGGCCTCTAAGAAGCAATTTAAAATCTTTCATCTCTACCAAAATTGTAACTGCCAGGAGTGTCTTGATTATCCTGTTCTTGAGAAGACTGGACACTTATTATCAGATAAAGTCTAGCTGTGAAAAAGGGGATATGCTTTCAGTTCAAGTGAAATTTCTGAATATAATGTAAAGAAACCCTTATCTTTTGTCAGAGAGCATGTGTCCTTACAAGCAAGTATACACATGTTGCAATTTTTGGTTAATTCAGTTTCACTGTGTAGAGCTAAGAGTATCCAATTAATTGCACTACTAGTGGACTAATAGGCCCAAATGATGCAATTAACTAAACAGTGGAGAATACAGAGCTTTTCAGTCTCATAAATGTTGCCTTAGTGCCCAGCCATCAAATGCAATCTCTTTGTTAATATCAGATTATCCTTGAAGGATACAGCTCAGTCACTAGTTTCTTTACTCAGCTTTGAAACACTTAGAGCCTTGTACAGTTTAAAAAGGTTCAGGATTCCCTTTTCCCTTTTTTTTTAAATGAAGCCTTAGTTAATTTCCCACAATAAACATGGCTCTATTTCTATTACCCAACCAAGCTAGGCACTCACACACATGCATCAAATATTTCCTCAGATTTTCATTATTTTAATCATCCAATCTAATATGCATGTTCCATACATAATGATCAGAAGCTCATGAAAATTAACATCTTTACAATGCAAATGCTAACCTCTGCTACTAAGGCAGATGATTGTCCTGCTCTGCACTGGTGTGACCTCACATTGAGTCCTGTGTGCAGTTTTGGGTGCCACAGTATAATAAAGACATTAAACTATTAGAGGGAGGTTCACAAGGATGGAGAAGGGCCTTGAGGAGAAGCTGTATGAGAGCAGCTGAGGTCTCTTGGTCTGTTCAGCCCGGGGGAGACTGAGGGGAGACTTCACTGTACTTGGTCTGTTCAGCCCGGGGGAGACTGAGGGGAGACTTCACTGTAGTCACAGTTTTCTTGTGAGGGGAAAGGGAGGGGCAGGCACGGATCCCTGCTCGGTGTGACCAGTGACAGCACCCGAGGGATGGCCTGAAGCTGAGTTAGGAGAGGGCTAGAAAAAGGTTGGCTATTAGAAAGAAGTTTTTCACCCAGAGGGTGTTTGGGCACTGGAACAGCTCCCCAGGGCTGTGGTCACAGCAGCAGCCTGAGAGAGCTCAAGAAGCGTCTCAAGAAGCGTTTGGACAATGCCCTCAGGGACGTGGCGTGACTCTTGGGATGTCCTGCGCAGGGCCAGGGGTTCGACTTGAGGGTCCCTTGAGGGTCCCTTCCAACTCAACATATTCTATGATTTTATAAGCATATACGGCTTTATTACTAGCATTTATCATGTAAGAATTATTTTTACCACAGATATTTGCTGCTAATTCTATGTACTTTAGCTATTTTTAATGGTTGAATGATCATATTTATATCATGCATAATTACTTTCCTGCTAAAAAAACCCAAAAATTTTAAAATGTGGACCAAAAAGAAGGTCATCGCTCTTAAGAAAAGCATAGCTGTGGAAAATTTCAGCCCATACAGAAAATTTGAATGGCTGAGAACAAGGAGTAGTGAAAACCCTGCAATTTTTTTCGTAACACTTCATGATGCTATAATTATGCAGCAGTTAGTATGATTTCTTTTGTTCTGCTTACTCCAAGTGAGGAAATAATGGTTTCAGATTAGTATCTTTGTCAGAAGCTACTTTCATCCAGCTAAGTATGTCCTGTGGAGACTCTGAATGTTTACTCTATGCTAAATTCCAAGTATAATCAAATGTAGGATTAATTAAAAACTTAAGAAATGCAGTAAATATTTATTCTTCAATGATACAGCCAGGCTATCTGTGCTATTACCTATTATAGCCTTGTGCAGTTATTGGCATGTAAGATGGTAAAGCCCATCCAATATATGAACAACTCAGTTCCACCTTTAAAAGGCTCTGATTTATTATCCATTTTTTACATCAAAAAGTAATACTACCTGCACTACTAAAATGCACATGCTGAAGAAGTAGCTAAAACAGAATTTGAAACTATTAACTAAGCAAAATACATAAGTGATGTTTTCAGGCCACAGTGCATAAGCTGCCATGAAAATTTGGACAGATTCCTCAAAAAACCTGTTCTGGCACTGCCAGTGGCCAGTTCTTATTTTTCCTCTTTCTTTTTTTGACCTTTCTCTGGAACACTACTGTGATGTCAGTGTGCAACCTGATAGCAGTTAATTTTTTGTTATATAATAAAGAGAACAAAGAAGACCTGCTAAGTACAGCATAACCATAGCAAAATCAGAAGCCACTCCTTCCATGAAATTCTATTCTTCTTTCATGTTTTTAGGGGCTCATTAATTTTTGAAATTTTCCATGCTTGATCTCCCACCAGAAGTGCTTTTTGTTTTTTATGGTTGACCAAATTTGCCTTTCTGCTTCTAAGCTGTAAGAAAAAAAAGGAGGGGAAGGGGACAGGGAGGGAGGGTGGAAAGAATGAAACAGAAAGTGGGGCAGGCAAAGAGGAAAACACATGTAATTAGGGTGCAAATTGCTGTTAGTAAAAAACTATTTTGCAGTGGAAGGGTATTAGGCTTTACTTTTGGAGAAATGCTTTCCTCAGAAGTGGAAACATAAAACTGTTTCTGATGTCAGTACTGATGTGTCTGTATATGCTTCTGTTCTCTTAAAACACTCCATACCGGCCAAGATTCATGTTTTGACTGTCACTGTAGTCTAGGGAAAATTCCCACACTTTTCCTGTCCCAAAAGGCAGATTTTTGTAGTACATTCTCCTCCTGACATTTTGAAAGGTACTGAGGGGAGCCACAGTGTAAACAGGCAGTGACAACGCAAAAGACATGGCCCTCTACCTGCATTCTAAAACACAAACTCAAAATATAAAGGAAGGCCTCAGACTACACATGTGTGAAGGAACTAAGTAGGTCCAGGATCTGGAACTCAGTCATGAGCTATTAAATTGTTAGAACAATCATGGTTTGGCCTGATTTTGACTTGAAGCATCTAGGGAAGACCCAACAATTTTGTGCAGCACTTACCATTGCCACTTGGCAGTTTGTAGGATGGACACTGCTGTGGGACTTTTACAACAGAGATGTGGATAAACTATGACTGGGCTAGGCCTTGTTTCTGTATGACTATTTCAATTATGGAACTTAAGATTGATTTTGGCAATGGATTGTATGACATGTTTTCCCTTCCCAGCAAAGTGCAGGATCCAGTAGTACAGACAATCCGCCACAGAACTATTCTCTCTTTATGCCTCAAAACTTGAAAAAAAAAAAACCTGACCCACCTTCACTTATCTCTCCGAAAGTACAGATGTCATGCTGTGCTCTGTCGGATGTTTCATATACATTATACATAGCCAAATATATACAAACATATGGACACATAATCAGCACCACTCCTCCAAAAGCAGAGGATATTAAAAGGCATTTATATATATTTATATTTGGTAGCACTGAAGATTACAGATTTCATCACATACCAGACTGCTCCACCCTCACTTTGTTTCTTTTCTGTTTTCCCTGTTTATGCTCTCTTCTCTCTGAGTTCTTCAGCTTGCTCCTTCTCTGGGCTTTTCCGCTCTCCTTTCAGTAGAGGGTATCAGCCAACATCCTTGAGCAGGTCAGGCATGAGCACAACCCAACAGAAGACAGTCTGACTTATATTCCCATTAAGCAGCTACTTCCGCTACTGCAAGATGAACACTGCTCTCGTCCTACGCTAGCAAAGAAAATTCCAACTGCTCCCACACTTCACATCAATAACATGGCACAACATAACCCCTAAAACTGGAATACAGGCTAGAGTTTCAACAAAAGAGATTTTTTTAAGGGCTTGTACCCCAAAATGCAGCTTCTTCACCTCAAGTAAAGACCACCTTTACCAACTACGCTACTTTACAAAATTAGACAACGCAACTCTCCCTTTATGGTGACTTCCAGTGGGTTTATCTGTATAGATGTGTGGCTAGCAAGTAGGGAGAGTGAAAAAAGTGTTTCACCCAGGATCATTTTAGTCTAGCCATTCTCTTTTAAAAAGTGGCAGAAAAGCAGGAGTTTCAGTCAGCAATAAGGGTGGGGTTTTACTCTCTGAGAGGATTTCACCCTTTGACATCCTCATGTGGCAGGTCCCCAATAGAGTGTTGATCTGCTTATTTCTTTGTGCCAACCTAGTATAAATTTAATTATCCTGGCCATTCACTGACTATGGTAAAGAAGATGAAATATTATAGAATGGAAAGAGAATCTCAACACAGAAACAGCAAAGACAAGAAATTTCTTCATAGCACGGAGAGCTATTCAAATACTTTAATCTTACCTCCCTGAGAGGATCATTGAGCTCATTCAAAATATTTTCTTCATCAAAGATCTTGCCTTGGTAGCGATGCTCATAATAATCATGGATCTTCTGGCGCATTTCAGCTGGTAACTTGTGGAATGACATGTACTGTTCCACTTGTTTGTACTGTCAGGATGAAAAAAGAAAGGAAGAATCAGAAAAAAAGCCTCAAATTTTTGCTATCTAAAAGCACCTACAAAATACAAATTCATTCATGTGTCCACTCAATCTTTACATGTTTTATAAAATTAACATTTTTTTCACATCAGAAAACCCTCACACAAATATTAATTAATGTAAAATTACTCACATGACAGCATATCTATAAATTACAGAAACTACCGTTACCAGCAAGGCTAATAATGAATGCATAGGTTTTTAGAAGCCAAACCCTAATGCTTCTTATACATTTCCTAAATTCCCAGCTGTACAGCAGCTGCAAAAATACACCAACACAATTTTTAGCTCATGCAGTAGACAGGAAAGTTGCACACAGTGTTTAGTTTGCAGCATTGCATTTGGGGAAAGCTGAAGGTGTGAAGTTTTAAAAAAAGGCTATGCTGTATTACTGAGCAACTTATTAGTGTTGTGTATGCTTATGAACTTAAGACCTGTGGAGATAATGAAATAGAAAACATTCCTCAGGAGTGATGAATAGAAGAGAGAGGTAAACTAGAAAAATAGGCATGGGATCAGGAAATAGAAACTGAAGGAAAAAGAAGATACCAGGACCCAAGAGACTAAGAAGAGCTGACTTCATTTACCCTGTACATTTGGCTTCTTTGTTTTCACTAGTCCTCTGTCCTATATCCTGGAGGTTTGGATTTGTTGTTTTTTGGTGGGTTTTTTTTGGTTTTTGCTTCCATTTTTCAAAATGGATTGGATAGCATAATTTTCAGAAAATGAAGTCCCAAATTGACACACTCATAGCTGTTTTGTACTAAACTACATGCTAATCTGAGACCCACGAAATGGACAAGTTGTCTAAAGTGCAAATGGACAAATCCACCAGAGTAAGACTTTTGCCCCGCAGAGCCCTCATCTTTGTCTCAGCTGTAAAGGATATGAAGGATAAATCCCATCTCAGGCTGAAAGGTGAGTTAAAACTTGACAGAAACTTGGTTCACATATGCAAACAGTCTTAATTTATTTTTTATTAGTTATTTCATGCTTAATTAGGGAATTTAAACTGTTTTCAATGGAAAAACCAATGAAGTCCTAATTAGGATTGGCACCTCTGTAGAACAATTAAGCAAATGTATTATGTACATGCCCTCTTTGTGAACTGCAGCACATAGCCTTTAACTTATATAGCTGAAGACTCTTCTGTCTTCTGTAATTGAAATTAGCTTTTGCTTTGCGAAGTGGCAAAAGATTAGATGAGGCCATGTGTACAAGATACATTCCAAAAATGCAAGGAAAGTAATTTTGCATGGGACTATTAAACAATGTATGATGAATATGTTAGAGTGATTTAACCCCTCTGCAGTCATTTTGACCCTCTGCAGTAACAATTCTTCACCCACATCCTTTAGATGTGTGATCTAAATTTGCATGCTTGCCATTGATTTTTGTTCTGATATGAAGAAATTTATCCATATATTGTGGGTTAGAATCAGACACCACTATGGCCCCTAAGATAGGGGCTGCTCCCTCTGCACAATCTTATTCACACACAAATGTGCTTAAGTAACGCTAATAACGAATAATCCTTGGTAATACAAGAAATACATTCATTCTGATGTATATTGCAAGTGAGCAAGCTGCAAAGGACTTCTACACCAGAATGACCCTGAAATAGAGAAAATTCAAGCTACAAGGAAATTGCTTGGGCAGCAGTTTCCACTGCTGCCTTGCATTAGAGCTGTTATTTGAATGGGGGCTTTCTCCTGCACCAGCAAGCTCTTTTCTTTAACAAGATTTATGCTTACACATGAAAATTTTAGGGAAAAATAAAAAAACAAAAACTAGGAGGAATGTACTGCTTATCACAGGCATGTCTCAAAGCTTTTTCAAATTAGTAATATATAGAATAATAGGCACAGCTGAATATTAGCATCCTTTTCTTTAAAAATCTATGAAGAAGTTAAGTCTTCCACAATTCCCAGAAGGTTTTAACCATCTAATATAATATCAAGGTTCCTTTGCAAATCTAAATATCTGAGCTGTGAGTGGGTAGTATACTATCACTAGTCTTTAATAATTTTTTTTCCTAGTACTTCTCAGTGTGTGATTTCGGCTCATTTTCTGTAACATTCACCATTCTACTACTCGCTTCTTGACATTCTGTTCACATGTAGTGTTACCTCAAAACTTTTAACTTGCCCTCCTGTTCAGCAACTGATATCTTTCATTAACTCAGCAGCAGAAATAATTACTTTTTCAATTCCTCAGAAAAGTAAGTTCATAGTGTCAGCCTGCTCCACGTTACTGGCAGTACTGTAGGTATTCCAGATTAGTTGCCACTGTGCTGTGCCACAGGCCAGTTGCAAAAAAAAAAAAGTGCTGAAATGAAGATACAAAGAGAACAAGACTAATATGGTCTTTTTAATTTTATGTAATAAACCAGGAATTTGTCTAAATTAATATTGAAGAGTATTTTCTTTGTGGATAGCAGAGATATCAATAATGTCTAGAAAGAAAGGTATTTTTCACTTCTATGTAATTATACTGGGTTTTGTTCCTGAGGCTTTTTTCACACATTACAAAATTGCAAGTAGCTTGAGAGAACTGAAGTATTTTCTGGAAAAGATAAAAGATGTAAAAAAGTTTAAAAATTTTCATTAGTGTTTTGAATCCCTTAAAAATATATGATAATTCAGTAGGTTCTTGATTTTTCTAAGTATAATTTTAGATCTGAAGTGGATAAAATTGTCATTAAAGTTAAATTTTGTTAAAAAATGATCCTTTAATCATATTTAAAATGGCTGTAACAAATCCTGAGCTACCAACATTTGAACCTGCATTTTTATATGTGACAAAAAAAAATTTCTTTCTAATAACTCCTCACATAACACTACATCCTCTATCTTTTTCCCTCTAGACTTAAAAGTTTGGTTTGGTTGGTTTTTTTGGGGGGGTGGAATTTTTGCTACTCTTTGTTTTGGGGTTTTTTTTCCTTGTTTGCTTCAGTTTATTCAGAAAAGAGATGTCTTAATCCCACATTCATAAAGACACCTCTGGTATTTATTAAAATTGTATAAAAAAACTTTCAGAGCCACACTAAGCCCTCTCAAAATTGTTTCTTTTTTTTTTTTTTTTTTTTCTTTCATTTCTTGCTTTAAGTATGTCATGTGAGAAGCACCAGACTACATTCAAACACAAAAGTCTCTGCATTTTAATTTGTAGTTGCCTTTCCATCCTTGCTCCTGCAAGGTAGCTGTTGATTTTCCAGGATGGACTCTTTAGTAAGGGACATCTAAAGAGATGTGCCATAACTGTTACAAACATGCATTCTGGATCTTTTCAATACCATTGAATGGAGTAAATACCATGTTGCTAACCACTCAACAACTATGTCTTTTTAATGAATATTGAATTGTTTGTTCTAAAATGAATACATATATTAATGTGATTTATATATTGCACTGCCATAATTTCATTGATTTATATCTGTTTTATATCCATCACTGAAATGAAAATGTCCACACATGCTACAAAATAGTTGAAATAGGTAACTGCTAAGTGGATTTCAAAGTTTCAAAGTAACATTTCATGTATTTTAATGCAAAACGCTGCCCAGTAATAATTGAGTCTTGTTGTTTCAGACATAATATTATTCATGGGCTCTTTGTATGTAGCAAAATTCTGCTAATGGGCTCCTCCAGCAAAAGGTGAAGAGTATGACATCAATTATACGGGGTCCATAATAGAATTGGTTAAGAAAGTACAGTCATCCTTAAAAAAAATAGGTATGGAAAAAGGCAAAGGAGAGGAAGTATGTTTTGTGCATAACAATTTGCAACTGAAGCACAGAAAATATTTTAACATTAATATAATGTTAAATCACAATATAGAAAAAAATCCCAATGAAACTAGTTAAACAGAAACCTGAATGTTGATCTTTCACAAGATATTTTATTATATATATGTTGAGCCTACCAGATTCTTTCCTTAAAAAGTTTCGTAACTAATTAGTTGAAATTTTTAACTGAAAAAATTTCGTGGAGTCCTAATAATCTTTACGGCTCAGGAATCTGTCCTTGATACAAAAAATGATGTAACAATTTGAAATACATCAATAGTGTCAGTTAAAAAACATGAAACTGATTATTTTCATGTGCCTGGAAGTGGTCCCACCTAAATTATCTGAATACTTTTCAAGCACAAGTGCCAAAGTTAGATTTTTCCAAAATGTCAACACTGAACAACTTCCATAACTGGGTAGTTTTTCAAGGAACCTAGGTCCCTGTACCATCAGTTCAAAGTCCAGCTTGAAAAATAGGCCTTTTGCACTTCATACAGTAATTCTGTCCCCACTTTTAAGAAAGTTTGCCCCAAAAATTTAAGCAACTAAGTAAATAAATAGCATTTTATTGAGCTTTATAGCCAGGGAAAGCCATACCTTTGCAAATACAAAGTTCAATGAAATGTGGGGAAAAAAATTAAAATCCTATATACTGATTGCAAATGTAAAAGAAAGCAAGGATCATTTGTGAAATCCTTCTGCTGAATCAAGGAAGTTCTGTCCCACAATTTAGATGAAACAAATCCATCAGTACTCTTAAAATGGTTTGTAAATACTTGCCTACTATGTATTAAAGAAGAATCTATGCAGCATTAAAATGTGCAGAAGATTTAACTCACTGGGAGGGAGTAGAAAGATAAGAGGAGGAATCTGATCAGGATGAAGCCTTTCTAAGTAACACACATACTGTTTCAAGAAGCTTCGGAACTCAAATATAGTTCTGAACCCTTTTTTAAACTTTGGTCTAAATATATTCAGACGGAGTTTAAATCAAGTAATGTTAGTACAAAATTATCTAGTAGTTTCAAAAGATTGTTTTTGGTGGATCTCTCTGGAGTGTTTTTAGTGTGCTATGCACATTATATATTATTATAGTGTTGACATTACAATTGTGTCTCTTCCCAGCCTCAACAGGTAGTTGATTCTGCTTTTTGTTCAG